CGGCCTCTCGGCCGCACTTCCTTGGGCGATCACCTGGGCCTAACCCATCGACGCCAAGGTCTCGCCTCCCACTCATCTTCCCTTTTCTCCGGGGAGCTCCATCTCTGGTCTTTTATTCCCACTTCCTCTGGCAGTGGGACTTACCCCCCCTTCCCAGCCTTCCAGCTACCCTGCTTTGAATGGCCGGTGGCTTTCTTCCCTTTCCTGGCATCCGCCTTGTCTCGGGAGCTTTGCCATTCGAGGGGATGGCCCCTTCCTTAGTGCTTTCATTCCCATCTCTCGCATCAGCTCTGAAATGTCCTCGTCTCTGCCATCGGACTCGCCTTAGCTGAAGGCCATCCTTCAGGCCGACACAGCAGTTCCCTCCCTCCCTCGCTCTGGGGGTCAGGTGGGGGCAGGGGGCTGGCTTCCCAGTGTCCCCGCTGCCCCCTTCCCATGCTTCTCCGGGCCCAGTCCTTCTCCAGCTCACAGTCCTCTTCAAAGCTGCTCGGGGCGCATGTGCCTCTCTCTCTCCACGAGCTGTCCACCACTCTAAGCCCTGTGTCCACCACGCCAAGCCCTGTGTCCACCTGCCTCTCTCTCTCTCCACGAGCTGTCCACCACGCCAAGCCCTGTGTCCACCGCGCCAAGCCCTGCCGACCCTGCCGTCTGGTTTTGTCCCACATCTTTTCTCAACCTGTCGAGTGGACTGGAGAGAGAGACCTGATCGGGTAAATTTATTCGTCGGCGGTACTTTCCCCTTCCTGCCTCATCCACTCCCCTCCGTGGGGCCTCCCTGGAGCCCGTCCACGCTCCTCTCTCTCTTCTCGAAGGTCCCGGTCCTCTCTTACCCGCGCATCTCAATGCATCGCTCTCAAAAGCCCAGGCTGACGTCACCAGAAGGCGAGCGGATGTCCCTGTTCGCAGAGCCTGTCCTGGCACTTCTGTCCTCGGCTACCCTGAGTCTCCGTGCCTGTCCTTGGCCTGGGCAGTACGGCTTGGGGACACCACTCCTCGGCCCTCAGTCCAGGGCGAGCCCCATTTCCCTCCTCGGCCCCTACCCCCAGATCACAGAATAACCGGTGGGAAAAAGGTTGCTCCCCGTTTCATGAATTCATTTTGGGTACTGGGAGCGAAAGGCTTTTAAACATAGCACTCAAATGTATGTAAATTTATACACTTATGCAAAAATGATATGAAAATACGCCTTAAGATTTTCTGAGAAAAGTCTGATCAGTCTATGAATTCCTCCCCGTCCACAACACTGCTTTGTAATTCCCACCCCTTCAGCGCGCTGCGCCCTTAATATCTGCCCACACTCAGCTCTCTGCCTCTCGTCCTGTGCTAACTCATTATTAGTACTGAACACATTACTTTTCTTCTCTCTTCTCTCTATATGTGAATTTAAACACATACACAACTATTAGAAAACTGACAGCTTTCGCTGGGGTTTAATTTACGTTTCTTTTCAGCAAGTCTGACCTTCTATTAACGTTAATAAATGCCATCTGCCTCCGAGTCATTATTGCTTTTTCACGTTATTAATGTGTTTGCATTTCTGCTGAAGTCACGCCTCTCTTCCAAGCTGAGTCAGGTGATCTGGCACATGCTGCCACTTACGACCCCTAGAAGTTAACAAATCATTGTTCTTTATGGAACAAGCACGAGCTCCCGACTGTTCACAGCTCTCTGCTGTCACCATCAGCCACCTAGTCTCCAGCTGGAACAGACACCGTGGCTTCCCTCCTTCGGAACAGCTCCCTCCAACTGCGCCTCCAGCTCCTCTCCTCCCGAGAGCTCCAGTGCTGACGCAGACACACTTCCCCCAACTCTGGGCTTTTCGAGGAACCACGATCCTCCTGCAGTTCCCTTCCCCGGAACCTCCTTGGTTGGTTCCTTGGTGGTCTCTCATGCTCCTGTTCTGCAAACTCCTTCTAGCCTCGCCCTTCTGAGCCTCACCCTTCTGAACTGGGGGCAGGGGGTCCTGGCCCACCCCTCACTTATACACTCCTCTGTTCCTGAGTGCCAGGCGAGTGTCAACGCTCATCTCCGTTCCTGCCTCCCTCTGCCACTTTGAGGACAATGCTCATCTCCGTTCCTGCCTCCCTCTGCCACTTTGAGGACAACGCTCATCTCCGTTCCTGCCTCCCTCTGCCACTTTGAGGACAGGGCTACAATTCCTTGGGCCCTTTCCTAGGCCTTGACCTGGTAAAAAGACAGCGTGTGATGTCCCTGCTGAGCCTTCTTCATTTAGGGGTTTACAGACCAGTCTGAGGGTAGAGCAGGGTCTTTTGTGACTCAGTGTGAGATTTTCAGTTCCTGTGCTTAATTTGTGTCTGGTGCTAACATGATACCCATCTATATCGCTGAGGAAACTGAGGCACGAAGAGGGTGAGTAACTTGCCCCAAGTCCTAGAGCTACTTACTGAGTGACAGAACTGGGATCCCAGTCCAGGCCGCTCTGGCCTAGGGGATCCTCCTTAGCCTCAGAGTGTGTGCAAGGCCATCTGCCTCCCTCCCTCCACCCAAAGCCATAGAGACACAGCTTGCCTGTGTAGCTTGGGAGGAAGGCAGGAGAGGGCTGGGTGGCCTGGGGCTCCAGGGGCTGCCTTTCCACAGCACCAGGAGGTCTTGCACTACCTGTGGGGCTCCTGCCAGGTGTGGGCTGGGCTGTGTGTGGGGGTGGGGACAGGCTGAGAGAACACAGGCCAGCATGCCTCGTTTACAAGGCCGCCAAGAAGGAATGATCTAAGCTACTCTGTGGGAGCGTACTGATGATAGTGTCTAGGCAATTTCGGACTATGAAAACCTAAACTCAAAATTCATAGGCTTGTTGGTCTCAACCTGCCTCCAGTTTGGGTAGTTTTCGAATATATTGGGATACACTGAGAAAAGTCTTAAGAGTTTATTTTATTACTATTTTCTACTGGTGAGACCTCCAGAGCGGCTAACGTTTCTGAGCCAGAGAAGGCTCAGTTATCGCCCACCATGCAGCAGGCCCTGTCACCCGGCCCCCGCTCGCCAGCTCTCCTGTGCTGGGCTCTTCAGAAAGGAAAACGTCTGGCATTTGTCAGGGAGCTCAGGTGTCTTGACAGGCTCCAAAGGTGAAACAGAAAACTTTCCTGGTGCGATTTTCCTATGTGATCTTTTGTCTCATGTGTTCTCTTTGGGGATGAACAAGAAATACTTCTCTGAATAATTCATAGGCCTCGAGGTAGAAGCACGTTGCCTCTTTTTAATAAAAAGGCTGGGCACATGGGGTTGATTACACCTCTTCTGTGCTGCTCTAGAAAAAGCACAGAGATCTCAAAAGCTCTTACAAATCCCTCTTACAATATGAGACGAAAATTAAAAGCCATGTAATACTTTTAATCAAACTAATGTTTCGCTAATATGTAAAATTATAAAGCCGTATTGAGCTACAAAACACTTATAAAAGGAAGCTGAAAAAAATTAAGTCACTCTAATTATTATAAGGTCAGATTTATTTTTAAAACTGAAAATGATTGTTGTCAGCTTTCTATTTAATGAGCACCTACTTAGGTGCCCGGAGCTCTGCCGGCCTTGTTACGTAAATTATTTCATTCATTTCTCACAAATGAACTGGGTAAGTCACAGCCCAATGCACAGAAACACCAAGGCTGCTGGAGGTCAAGCGATAAGGCCAAGGTTTCCCAGGCGCAGGGACTGGGGCTGAGTTCAAACCCAGGCCTGACCTGGAAGCGTAACGCTTGGTACCTGGGCATTCTCCTGCTGAGAGCCGCTGGTTCCTGCTCAGCAGCTGCTCCATTTTGTAATGTTACTATGAGAAACGGCAAGAGAGCGAAGGCTTTGGGGTCCTTCAGAGAAGATTTTACTTATTAGTTACAAAACCATCTTAGCACTGGACGGAAACTCACCGCCCATCTTGCTGAATGTTTTCATTTTACAGCAAGGAAACTGAGTGCAGAGAGCGTACGGGCTTTTCCCAAAGCTAAAGAGCGAGCGAGCGACACCACCAGGGCCAGGACTCTGTCCCTGGACTCCTTGTCCAGTGCTCGATTCCCATACCACACACCCCTGATTATGGAGGCTGGGCTCCCAAGGGTAGTTGACAGCGGGGCACCTCTGCTTCCCTGTGGTTCACTACGTCACAGATGTCCTGCCGCTATGAACAAAATAAAGATTCAGAACCCAAGCCCGGCACGCGGGCCCCGAGAAAGCAACACCGCTTCCCACCAGCTCCTTGGACCGGGTTAACGTGCGCGTTTCAGTTCAGACTCTCACAGAAAGGTCACAGCAGGCTGATGGCGTGTGCGGCAGCTCAGTGTATGTCCTTGACAGAGGCGATCCCCTGGAGTGGCAGGCCTGCTCCCCGACCCGGCAGTCGGGTGGCTAACTCCAAGGCAAGGGAGGGGGGAAGCAGTGGGGCCACCCGAGGCTTCTGGCCTGGGCGTCCAGAAGAGGGATGTGCGCAATTCTGCAGAGCTACCACGCCACACAGTGTGGGGACAGGGGTGACTTACCTGAGTCCTCTCGGTGTGATAAGACCTGCCCTCCCCACCCCTGCCGCCACCATCCGCTGGAGTCTCTGGCTCCCTCAAGGTAAGAGAACCCCCCAGTTTTTAAAGTGCTCTCACTTTTGTATTGACGTTTCCCTGGGGTACGGGTGGACACACCCCAAGGTGACTGCTACAAGCAGAACACAGATCAAGATGACAATGACAGTGCCCAGGGCCACAAGAATATCTTTATGAAACCCGGAGCCACAGGGTGGATCGGACTGCTGACTCAGACTCTCCGCTCACCGCATGGGACCACTGGGTAGGGCTGCGAAGCCTGAGCCTGCCAACTTTTAAGGGCTCCATTTATATAAATTAGAGCAGGAACGGTGCCCGCCGGCTTTGTGCACTGTGACAGCCTGGCCAGCTAACTGCATCTGGCCTTTGGAACCCGAATAGGATTTGAGGGTCATGAGCTACCTGCTGCTTCCAAGGGGAGTTTGATGTAAGAGTGGGGGTCCCGCCGGCTGTCGCACTCACCAGTCGCTGCATGCTCTTCACGTGGGTGGGGCTGATGGATAAGGCTTCTTCGTACCACCGTCGGGCTTCGTCGATGTTTCCTCGGAGCTCGGCAACCTGGCCACGCATGTACAGGACATTGTGGGACATTGGGAAGAGGTTGGCAGCTTCTTGGGTGCAGGCTGTGGCTTCTGCAGGCTTCCCGATGCCGATGTACACTTCAGCTGTGGGGAAGAGAGCAGAGGCAGATGCTTTCCTGGTTCACTGCCCTTCAGAGGCCCTGCGGACGGCTGTGACTCTGGTTGGGGACATTACATTCCCCCCATGGGAATCTGGCAGGGGCCCATTTGGAATATACAGGAACCAGAGCCAGCCAGGCCCCCATCCGGAGTGGAAGCGGCTGCAGACTGACAGTCCCTCACACCTACTGTTACGCAGGGACTTGAGTCATTCTTACTGTGAGGCTCGGAAGGGGACAAATGTTACCACCAACGAGGGGGGAGTGAGGCCTGCCTGGGGGCCCCTCAGGGACATTCGCCCTCAGGGCCCACCTAGAATACCTTGACACCTGTCCTTAGCTCTGACAGTCTGACAGCCACAGAGAAAGGGCCAGAACAAGCTGAAGGACAAGCAAACTAAAGGTCGCAGCCCCTCACAGGGCAGTGGCTTTGTCCTCTGGCCTGTTCTCCTGATGCCAGCAAGTGTGACAAGGGCAGCGGGCTGTGGCTTACACGCTTATGGGTGTGAAATGAAGTGCCTGCTGCATCAGACCCTGAGCTCCAACCCGGGAAAGTTACTGCACCCTGGAGACTACTGACTGCATAATGTCAACAAAGCCCTTTGAAAAAGCAAGCTGTCACTTTAAAAAAAAAAAAAAAAGCAGGAAAATGACCTTTCCCCCAGTCTCAGGCCTCAACTCTTCCAAGGCTACGTGGAGGCTCGCGAATTGCTCTGCAGCTTTGGCCTCCCTGAAAGAGCCCATTGTGCATGTCCAGGTGCCATCTGTCTGCCTCTCGGGCACACGCGAGTGCCCTCTTCTCCTGAGGGCCTGTGATCATGGCATCGCCACCTCTCCAGTGCTGAGCCTGTGTCTTCCAGGACACCGGTTCCTCTCTCCGCTCCTTAGACCACTGCCCAAGGCCCTACTCAGGTGGCCACTGTGCGCTGGGCCCTCTGGCCTCTTCTCCTACCTCCGGGCCAGCCCCCTCCTCATCGGTCCTGGCCTTGACCACTGGCCTCCACCCCTGGCGGTCAAAGGCGTTTGCACTTGTTACTTATGTGTATATTAATATACTGCATAAAATATAATGTACACAGAAATAGAAATGGTAGAAGGAATAAAAAGAAATAGGAAAGCTTGCGATTTTTCTCGAGCACTTAATGAGTTGTATCCTGACGGCCAAGCCTTGAGCCGCTCGCCTCCTGCTACCTGTCCCACACAGTGGCTGCCATACCGGCTCTAGGCAAAGCTCTGGTTGGGTCGTCCGCCTGCAGAGAAACGCTCCTTCCTTGAGGCCTCCCTGCGGTTCCCTGGCCTTCAGCACGACCATCCTCCCCCTGCTTTCTTTTCCTGCCTATGCCAAGCAACAGGTTACTGTCCCTCTAGCACGTAAGCCATACGCCACATGAGGGCAGGGACTGTGTCTGTGCTGCTCACAGCCAAGTCCCCAGTGACTAGAACAGCGCGAGGCACCCAGCGGGAGATCAGGAAACAGTTGCTGAATGAACGAACGACAACAGTAACAGTAACAGCTTCTAACGTTCATTCAACAGGTGCTTTGTGCCAGGAAGTGCTCTCATTTCTCCTTTTATCTGCAAAGGGATCCTATAGGTACCGTTATTTTATCCCATTATACAGATGAGGAAACTGAGGCACAGAGAGGCTGAGCAACTTGTCCAAGGCCCCAGGGCAAGTCAGGGGCAGAGCCTGGCTTGGAGCCTGCACTGTCAGCCTCTGCAGAGAACAATCTCCCCCACGGTAACACCCAGATCCCTGTGCCTGGCATTTGGGGCCCTTGGTGACCGGCTCCCCGACCCTCACTGCTCCCGGCATGCACCCCCGGCTCTCTACGGCAAGCACGGCTGTTTCCACGCACACTCTGGCTCACTCTCTTGTGACGCCGTCACCCCCCACACCTTTCTCGGTCTAGCTCGATCCCCACTGCTCCCGGGGAGCGGCCATCTCTGACTCCATCTCTCCCGTCAGAGGGGAGCTCGGCCTCTGCGCCTCTCTGCGGCTGTGCCCCTGGCATGTTTTTGTGAGGGTCATGGGTCTACTCCTGACATCAAGCTCTGCTGTGGACCCGTCCTTCTCTCTGACCCCCCACCTCCGGCTTCAAGCCCGGAGACTGGAAAAGGGCAGGGGGTGTCACACGGTTTGTAGTCTGACTTTGTGGCCTCGACCCGCCCGGATGCCTCCTCTCCTCCGCACTCTCACTTTGCGGGTGACCACGGTCACACCAGTGACAGCGACTCAGGCCAAGAGAAAGCCCTGGAGACCGTGGCAGGTCCTCGGCAGCACAGGAATGACGGGCTGGGCCGAGGCCTGCAGGGGCGGCCGGCGTGCCTCTCAGCTGTGGGGACTCAGGCAATTCAAACGCACCTCACCGAGCCTCACAGGTGGCCATGCGGGCACCATGCCTGCCTCATCTGCTCTGGGGACTCAGCTCACCTGGTCCTTACTGAGCACGCACTACACACGGGGCTCTACGGGAACCGAGATGGCGTCGCTGCCCTTCGGGTCTGGCCCAGGCAAAGCCCGCCCTCCTGGGAGACAAACAGCCTCTCAATGACACCGCGGGCCGGCTGGCATCTCTCAGCAGCGCGATTCTCTCCAGGCCGTTTGCCAGGAGGAGGCAGGTGTGCGCCCGCGGCGTGACAGAGACGCGGGGGACGCGCAGAAGGCCCCTGTCCCTGTCCCCTCGCTCCTCACTTGCTTCCGTCTCCATTGTGTACCTTTCCAGAAATCCCCAGGGCCTAGGGCTGTCCGCGGGTGGCTAAGACACGCCAGGCCTCTCCTTCTAGATCACAGTGGGAAAAAGGCCAACTTGAGAGAGTGGGGATTAAATGCTTCCAGAGTTTTTGTAACGAGACTCGAGCATGGACGGGGGTGGGGGCTTAAACACCAGCACGACATGCCCACGTAAGTCCTGTTGTATGAGGCCCCCCGTGAGACCCTGTATCTTACTGACCAGCGTGTCTCTGCTGGCCACAGGTCTGAGCTACTGCTCCCCTCACATGAAGAGCACATGGAAGACGAAGCGGAGCTGACTCATGCTCATGAAGGCGGGAGAAAGGTCCAGGCCTCCAAGGACTCCTTTTCGGCGGCACAGAAGTTGTAGGAGGAAACCCGTGTCACCGATGAGGCAGATGTGGCAGACGAATGCGTGGCCCAGGCTGCTCCCGAGTCCCTCCGTTTTAAGCTCCAACGGAAGGACACAGGACATAACGTACCGGTGTGATTTTCAAACCGTTTCCCCTGGTGGGGCCTCTTTTCTCTAAAGAGATCTCAAGAGTGGGCAGCTTTCCTCCCCCTTGGTTTGGCCCCCTCTCCCGGCCTCTGAGGCACTGCTGGGGACCTCAGGGTTCTAGGGTGCCCAGACTGTAAGCCATAGAGTCCTGAGAACATTGAGATTCGGTTCCTGCGCCTGGGCCTTGTGTGTGGCCTGGGGCGAAGCCGTCCACTCCTCTGGGCCTGTTCACCGTCAGAGGGAAGGCGGATGCCGGCCCACATCTCTCCTAGGGCAGCAGTGAGGATCGGCCCGGAGAGTGGGCGCTGGGAGCCCAGGGTGGGTGAAAAGGGTGAGGGCAGTGCTCAGGGGAGCTTCGCCCTCTTCGTGACTCAGTGTGAGGAAGCTAAGTGCCAAGAGGTAAAACGGCCCACTGAGCCCCGCAGCTCTATCTGGCCGAGGTAGTGCGTTGGGGAGACGCAGGTCTGGCCCTTCCGTTTTACCAGGACTTCTGAGACGATGGCTCAGAACACAGGCGCGCCTCGGAGACACAGCGGGTTGGGTCTCGCACTGCTGCAACAACGTCGATACCGCAGTAAAGCGAGTATCGCCGTCAAGTGAGTCGTGTCCATTGTTTTTGGCTTCCCAGTGCATAGAAAAATGACGTAGTCTATTCCTGTGCAGTTATGTCTAAAGATGTACATACGTTAATTAAAAAATACGTTATCGCTAAAAACTGCTAACCATCATCTGAGCCTTCATTACAGTCGTTTGGCTGGCGGAGGGTCTTACCTTCGACCCGCAAAGGGAGCAAAGTCTAAGAAGAGCGAGGAGGCGAGGTAGGCCTGTAGTCGGTCATTCCCTACGGTCACACGAGCATGTGGCATCTTAATGGGGGCACAAAGTCTAAGGCTCCAGAGGTGAAACCTTCGAGGTGGGGTTTCGGACATCAATCAAGTCGTTGCAGTCTTTTGGCTGGTGGAGGGTCTTACCTTCGACCCGCAAAGGGAGCAAAGTCTAAGAAGAGCGAGGAGGCGAGGTAGGCCTGTAGTCGGTCATTCCCTACGGTCACACGAGCATGTGGCATCTTAATGGGGGCGCAAAGTCTAAGGCTCCAGAGGTGAAACCTTCGAGGTGGGGTTTCGGACATCAATCAAGTCGTTCGAGATGGGGTTGGGGGAGAATGGGCAAAGGACTACCTGGACATCCCCAGAGGGACCTTCTCGCCCAGGCACACACTGGTCCCCTGGACTATAGTGAGGCCATGCAGGCGGTTACTCTGAGCTTTCACTGCTTGGGAAGCCTGCCTTCCCAGGGGTCCACAGCTCAAACGAGGACCCGTGTCTCCCCAGCAAAGGGTTTCACAAACGTCTATCCCTGATCCCACAGGGCGACAGCTCCATCCTCTGCGTTCCCATAGCACCTTGTGCAATCTCTATCAGCCCCTAGACAAATCATCTTTGCGAGGGGACCCTTCGATCTTGCTTCTTGTTTCTGTCAGGTGCCCATCTGCCACAGCCACACACCTGACCCTCCCCTCCCCCAGGTCCCATCGGACTGATGCATCTGGGAGAACGACTTGGGCTTGCTCGCGGTGGCCTCAGGGCTCTCTCCCTCTAACGCCCTGTCCCTTGTCCCCTGCATTCTCAGCATGACATTGGGCTCACCCCTCTGCAGCAGGAGGTCAGCACTCTGGGATGAGTGAATTCACCTCAGCTGCGATGCGCTAGGGAGCCCGACTGAGACCAGAAGTCGATGCGCTCTCTCCGAGGTAG